GTAGGTGTATTCTTGGGCTTCTCTATAATAAACTATTATTCTTTAGCCAACTCCGAAAAATAATAGACAGAAATACACACCTGCAAAGTCATGGAGAAGTGATCTTGGGGTATGCCTGCCAGAAACACACAAATTATTAAAACCTATGACTTTTGCCTTTTTGCCTACCCTACCTGTTTTTATGTGAATTTAAGGATTATCAAAAGTTTAGGGGAAAGACTGAATGTTGTGGCTTCTTTCTTCTTTTTAGGTTTTCTTATTCAGAAGGAGAAACATTAAGTGTATCTCAGCTAAGAGGGGTATATAATAAAAGCTTATTGGTACTTGTAAAATATTACTGGATGGTGGCAGCTCTGCAGGTAGGATAGTGGTTTTCTGACAAGGAGTTGTTATGAGCCTGGTGCCTTTTTAAAGGATGCTCAAGCCAGACTCTGCCACAAAAAAAATTTGTTGGCTGTGCTCCAAATTTCAGTTTTGTCCTCTTTGTGAAGTAAAAGATGAGAGCAACAGCAGCAAACACTAATATCTAGGAGATGCTAGCAGCACCATTTGCGGCTAGTTATTATGATGTGTCTGGCTTAGGAGATGTGTAATTAGAAAGTGTTTATTTCACAATTGTTCTGAATTGAGAGCATTTAGAGCTCAACATAGTGTTTGTCTTCATACACAGAGACATGGACCCTCAGGAAAAGTAAGCTAATGGTGAACACAAGGGTATTAATATTTGTTCTCACTGGTATTGCTGATTGCCTAACAAATCCTTGGTGGGCAGTATATATTCAACAGTTCCACACAGTAGATGGGCACTAAATGACATAACTGTTTATGCGACTAGTATTGTAATTTGGTGCATAGGCTGGAAGTTTTATAAGTGATAGTGCTGTATTTCTAAAGGAAAATACTGCTCAATTAAAATGGGTTTGGTTAAATTAAAGCACCCTATTTAACAGGAAAAGGAAAGGAAAGTCTTAGAGTTCTTTTGTCCTGATTATATACAGGAGCTGGTGCTGATGCAGAGCTAAGGGTTAACATTTAAAATGGACTGGTTGCCTCCTGATTTCTTGCACATAAAGCCATGAGAAGTTCAGGGAGAGACTTCTTCCCCTAGTAATGAAGCTCTTTGCTGCTAATGGCCCATGCAGACTCCCTTGGCTCCTCCAAATTAGAAATACTTTTGTGCTCCTTTGCTTCATTAACAGTAAAGAGAGGGAGATTGGTGGCTATTTAGGGCACAGGGAAATTGGTGGCTATTTAGGGCAAGCAAAAATTGTAGTAATTATGGTTGGTAAATTCTCTTCATGTTGTTCTTCGACTCTTGATGTTCTTTTGGTGCTTTTCAGAAGAGCCCACCACTGTCACAGCTGGCATTTGTCCTAGAAGGATGGGAGCTATTTGAATTTTTGGCCCCTGGTGATGGTCAACACAAGGCCTCGTGCCTAGTGGGGGATGATGGGTCTTTTACATTTTGATTTGCTTTTCAGAATGTACCATATGAGTCTTTCCACTTCTATCTGTGATCAAAATATATTGAGTAACTTTTACCTCCTCTAGCTGTATTGCATTACTGAAAGCTGGTGCTACATGTGAGTACCTGTGAAAATGCATCCCAAATATACCTTGGTTGAGACAGATGGAGTGGCTTGGTAGGATCAGAACAATACATGAAAAAGGAGGAGAAAAGGATACTCTAGGATCCCTGTGTGCTATGGTAGATCTCTGGTTGATCAAGGGGTTAGCATCAGACTACCAGATGCTGGTTGGAAGGAAATGGTGTCACAAGAAAGGTACAAAGTCCTAAAGACTAATAGAACTGAATTAATGTTAGAATTTAGTTGCTTTATAATTTTTGAAGAGAGGGTGAGGCTTATAAAGGCCTTATGAAGCTAGGGAGTATGGTCTGGAAAATGGCTCCTTCAATAATTGAAGTTACAATTTATAGGACTAAACCAGAAAAATATACCCTGTAAATTGATTTATTAATGTGATGCTGATGGAAAGTGAGAAATAATTAAGTCAAGTCAAAGTGATCAGGTGGATTCTTGGGGCCACATTGCTGGAATTAAGAAGCATTTCTGGAAATATTTACCCAATTGATTATATTATAACATATTGAGGTAATATTTTCATAATATTCAAGATGGTATGCATACTATCTGAAGAAAAAGGTAACAAAATATAGGTTGGAAGAATTAAATGTAAACAGATAGGTTGATAACCAAGTAGAATTCTTTTGGTATACAGTTAAAAAAAACTATTTGTAAAAGTGATTTAATTCAGAGAATTTGCCTAGAAAAACAAGAGATTTAAGTTCATAAAGAAATCTTAGCATGTCCCTAAACCAGGGCTCACTATTAGTGTAGATCGCTTGTAGATGCCCAGGAGAGGTCTGACCACCAAACATCAGTGTTCAGTTGTCTTGGCAAATATCGTATTGATTTGGAGGTTGACAGTATCCAGTTCTGATAATAGGATCAAATTGCTTATCTCCTTTAATTAAAACATTTACAAGAAATCTCCTGACACTTCTGTGGTTTTCTAGGTAGACTTCTCTGTTGGTGAGAAACATCACTAAGTGGCCAGTTGGAGTGTTCAGGTCCATTTACACTTGCTTATTCATTCAACAAATATTTGTTGAGTACCTACTATGTGAAAGACAGTTTTATTTGTTACAGTGAATAATTAAATGAAAATTCTGATTTATCAATTAGTTTCTCCTGGCTATGGATCTTGTAATTCATTTCCCAGAGCCCATATGTCTCTATGAAAGCTGAAAGGTTACTCTGGCAGAACAGGAAACACTCAAAATGATTCCTGCAGTACAGGGAATCCCCCTCATATACAGTCATGGCACCGACGGCAACCAGCTCATCTACCTCTTTGCTATTTCTTGGTTCCAACTTATCTCTTCTTCTCACACTTGTTTCACATTTATTTCTCAGTAGCCTATCTTTATTCATTAAATGTAGCATAATAGTTGGCTCAAATTGTGCTGGATGATCTCCTAGGACTCTGGGACTCACGGGTTCAAACATGGGAGGTACGAACCATGATGATCAAGGACAAATGGCTAGAAGATACTGGAAGAAAATTAAGCTTTAGGTGAAAGTGTAAAGCTAAAGATTAAAATGTAAAAATAAATGTCATACATGGCAGGAATTTTAGGATGTGAATACCCCAAGACTAGAAGAAGGGACAGGATAAAATATGGAGGAAATACCAACAATGGATTTGAAGTCCAAGCACGTGAACTTCATGTCCATTCTGATTCTAAGAATATGAGTTGAGGATTGTCCTTTAGTTTCCATTTGAATTCTAATGTACATGTGAAAAAAACCTAAAGACCCCAAGCCCAAAGAGAGGAAGTTTCCCCCATTCCCCAAATTTCTGAAGATTCAGTTAATGCTGCATAGGGAAATCTTGGGGGGCAAAAAGTTTTTTATTCTCAATGCCCTGATCAATTTTCATTTCTTTAATTAATTAACAGATGAAAAAACACATCCAACCTTATAAGAAATATATATCAAGGCTTTGTACTGTGAAAAGTATTTAGTGTCTTTTTAATTACCACATATCCTGTATAAAACCTCTAGATATTAAAATGCATAGTGCAGGATGGCAAACCTGGCACTTCTGAGAATCTTACATGAGCTCTAGGTAGATGTTGTTGGGTTTGGTGATAGTTACAGAATACTTTGCATAGCTCATCTCTTTAAGTTTCAAGATAGCTATGTGATATACATACTACTGTTGTTTCCATCGAAAAAAATAAAAGGAAATTAAAGCTTTTAGAGAGTCACTAATTTGCCCAACTTCATACAGCCAGTGCATGTGAATTTCCAGTTTATCCCTGTTTGACCATAGTACCCAAGCCATTTAACACTAAAAACAGTTTCCTTTTATAATATGCTGCTGGATTGTAAATCGGCTTTGGATATGCTCAGGCCACACCTCACTTTGAAAACCCAACATCCTTCATCTCATTTCCCTCCTCTTTGAGAATTTAATTATCTGCCTGCAGCAAAATGCCACAGTTAAAGTTTCTCATGAAAACTAAACCAAAGGGGGAAGAGAGTCATAATGTGTATTGATTTTTTTGGCTTTATTTTTTTCTTTCCACTTTGACTTTCTTTTAGGATCTTAGCATGTAGCTAAATCTATTTAGGTTCTAGTGAAATCATAGAAATTACCTTCTGGGATGGGCTATGAAGAATAATTTGCAGAAATGAAAAAAATTTCTAATTCAACCTGTGACACTTACATAACACTCTGCCTCAGCTTCCTCATTTGGTAAAATGCAGTTCTTCTAGAAACCCTTTGTATAAATTAGGAAACTGCCACCAGTTTTGGGTGAGCTCATCCATGCATTCTTTCTTCATGTAACAAACATGATTTGAGTGCCTGTGTGAAGGGTACTGTGCTAGAATACCAAAAGAAGAAGAAAATACCTCTAACTTAAGGATCTTACCACCTATGTGAACAAGCACAAAAGCAAACTCAACGACACAGAGGTGCTGCAGTGGGTGAGAGCACTGGGCATTGCATGAACCCGCAGGAGAGGAGCCTGGTCCTCTCTTCATTCGAGGGAAGGCTGCTGAGGCCAGCCCTGCTGCACAGCTGGAGGCAGCTTTCTGCTGGAGCTGGCACATCAGGTTCTGGGTGTCAGTCATTGCTCCCAATAGGACTACCTAATAACTAAGTAATATGTTTTCTGCTGCAGGTAAACCTGATCTACAGTAAAGTTCAGGCCATGGACATTTCTTTGTTAAAATAATAGCATACAGTCCTGAAGTAGGTGAATTCACTAAGACGGCATTTTACTGGCATCAGTTCTGGGTGTGACTACCTCCAACCCACCGGATCAGTGAAATGCTGACACTTCCACAGACACACAGACAAGACAACAAGTGGAGAGAATAGAAGATGAGTTATAACTGATGGAAGAGGAATACATTAGATTCAAAATAAATAACACCCATTTTTTCTTTTTAAATTTATGCTAGAACTAATGCTCCAGATGTTCCTTATGACTTAACCATGACTGACAGCAGAAATAAGACAACCACTGTCACATATGTGCGTGACACACTATCTAACCCTAATGGCTGGATGGCTCTGCTCTTGGATCAAGAGACCTACTCACTGCGATTTCAGACTCCTTGGATCAGCAGATCTCTGCAGGTAATTTATTTGATAGTGTGCTCCATTCCCAAGGGGTTATTATGTTTCATTTTATAACATAAAATATTGTAGGTATTAGCATCTTCTGGTGTTGATAAAGAAAACTATAGCAACATTTTAGCCAGATGAATATAACGTAAATATGAGATGGGATTTTTTAAAAAAAATTGAATATTTTGTAATCTGTTTAAATCTCACTTTGAATGCAGAATTGTTCTGCCTGAATTTTTAACTTTATTAATACAGTGAAACACAGCTTGTAAGCAATCTATATAATTGTATTTTATATTATGGATTAAGAACTAATTTCACCCAGAGAGAAGTGTTCCTGGCCAGAAATGTCTTAACAAACCGTTTTTACATTGCCTACTGCCACCTTGTGGTCAAAGACTAAATTGCGAATGAAGGCCTAGATTTTCTTTTGGGTTCTGTTGAAAAAAGCAAATGGTTAGGGGGAGCAAAGATAGGAATAGTTATACAAGAAGTGGGTGCATTTTCTGGGAAAAAAAGCAGCAATCAGTAGACTCCCTCAAGATTCTTTTTATCCTTTTAACACATTTCTTTCTTCTTGTCTCATTATACATATTTTCCCTAAAATCATGAGAGCAGTCTTAGGCAACTAGAAGCTGCATTAGAAGTACCATAGTTCTGAGGAATTCAAAGCAGAATCTTTATTTATCCTCTCACCATCTCCCTGAGAGCAGAGAGCTCTTTCCTTCCCTGGAGTCTCCCATGAGAGCTTTCCACAGAATTTTCAGGAGGGGGAGGCAGCAGATTGGTGGCTCTGGAGATGGACATCCCGGGTTTCTATCCTGGCTCAGCACTCTCCCACATTGTGATGTGGGACAGGTTTCCTAAACCACTGCCCACCTCACCTGTAAAAACAATAAGAAAAGTAATAGAAAAAACAAGAAAGTAATAGTAACAATCACAGGGGACTTTGCAAGGATTGAATGACAATGTTAGCTATTCCTGTTATAAATGGATGACACTCCTATTTTTGTCCATCTTTCTAAGTTAAAGGAATTCTAGACCTGACTGTGTCTTTTCCAGCTGTTTGACGTGGGACATCAATTCATTTGTCTGGGCCTTGTTTTTCTTTTCTGTTAATGAATCTTTTAAACAAACAGAAGCTTATGGCATCTTCCAGTTCTCACCATGTATGATTTTGTACCTCTAGTTATGAGTTCTTTTTGGCATGCATTTAAATAAGCCCATTCCCACAAGAAAAATAGTCTGAGTGTGAACTATCCAATTTCTAAACTACTCAGTGTTCTTTGTAGCTCCTTTTTGGAGGGGAACCTTCCTCACTAAATGAGCTCTATTGTACTTTTCTCTCACTTAAGTACTCAGCAACATTTAGCAACCTTGCTCCTGGGAATTACCTCCTGCTGGTACACACAATCTTATGGCCTCACCCTGACATCCTCATAAGGTGTGGGAGTCGTTTGGGGCGGTCCCTGCTGTCTCTTCCATCACCCAGTGAAGATCAAGGCTGTGAGTGGTTCTTCAATAGCCAACTGAGGCAACTCACCTACCTGGGTAAGTATAACTGGATGAGCATTTCCAGGGCACGTAGTCAGAAACCACTGTTCTCTCTGGAATCTCAGATGTTTGCTCTATGAAACAATGAGGAGCTGAGGGGGCCAGCTGTGTGTAAGTGGGTGGGCTGTGAAATCAGACTGCTTGGGTTTAAATCTCAGCTCCAACACTTACTAACTAAGGGACACTGAGCAGCCACTCTTTCTCTCTAAGGCTCAGCCTCCTCAACTGTACAACAAGGCAATAATAGGATGTACCTCAAAGGATAGGAAATTATATAAAAGATATCATGTAAAACTTTTTATCAGAGTGCCTAACCAACAGCAAGTTGGTTATTTAATATTAATTAAAATGTTTAATAAACATTTTAATTAATATTTTCTATTCACTTTTAGGCAGTGTTTGTATTTGTAGAAAGATCAAGTGCATAGGAAAGGCGGGATGGCTGGTTCTGGCCACACACGCTAGGAGCAGCAGAGAGCACAAGGTGGTGAGACAGAGAGAGCAGGGATGAAGAGTGAAGCTAATTCGGAAGCTGAGAAGGAAAGCCTTGGAAGGGAATCCAAGGTCAGGATGGTGAAAAGGCGTGAAGGGCCAACCTGAGGACTGGGGAGTGGGCTGTCTCTGTCTTGTGTCAGGACGCAGCAACAAGATGAAGGGTCCAGGAACCTCATGTTATAGGAGTGGAAACCCTTCTGTGATTTCAGAGAACAGATGGCTAAAGGATTTCCTTATCTTCTCATTGTGCACATTTCACGGGAGATTTCCTTTGACTTCCTGCTGTTTGTCTCATACTCTTTTCTACACCGTGTCAGCACTGGTCACTCTGAGCACCGTGATGTCCCCTTATGCCAACCTCACCTCAGTGTGGTCCATAAGGAGAATCCATCCCAATGGGTCTCTAGAATGATAATTATATTATAAATTGTTCTTAACAGATCCTGGTCAAATTCAGGAGAACTCATTGGCACCTCAAGTCCCAACCCCTGCCACAAGCTAGATTCTTCCCTAAGGATGTAGAGAGCTGGACAGTTGTCCTGAGCCCCTTGTCCCTGTCCCTTGTGCCTGGCTATATGTCAACTGAGTCTGAGCTACACTTGAGCTCTGGGACAATTAAATTCTGATAGCATGAGAGAGGGGAGTATGGTATTTCCCTGGTGTTTTTTTTTTATCTTTGCCAAATGGATTGTTATATATTTTATTTGCCCTGCATTGTACTGTTCCTATTTTATTTCTGATTTGATCCATTCATAATGCAACCTAAAGCTATAAAAACTCAGGATGGACAGAGAGCCTGTGACTGTCTCACCACTAGGGTGGAATATAGCCATTATCAAGAGCAAATAGTTACCATTAACTTTAGCTATGACTATTCAGTTGATATATATATATATATATCCTGGAACAAAATTCAACTTCAAATTGTTCTCATTCTGCTACTTTGGATGCCCCTCAGAAGCATATCCATTGGTCAGATTCTGTTCATGAAGTGTGAACTAATTTGAATTCTCACATAAGACAGTATGATAAAGGAACTTTTGGGGCTTAAAGAAAAAAAAATCAAATCATGCAGTTATAGATTTTCTTCCCCTTTGATAGTATTACTTATTGAATTAAAGCAAATTATACCATTATCATATGTATACACATATATGGTATAAATATACATCTGTGTAAGTATGTGTGTATATATTTACATGTAGATGTAACTATGTATGTATATATTATATATATATGATGTGGATGAACATTTTAGTATAAAACTTTTTTATTAGGTATATAGTTTTCTTTAGTTTTTACAAGATTCTTTGTTTCAGAATACTTTAGTATTTCCTCCTTTGGATAATACGAGTTGGGAAAGGAACAGGAAGTCTCAGCGGGTTGGTGGAATGTTTAATGAACTTGGAGACCCCAGCTCCTTGGAGAGGCTTCCTAGTGTTCCCAGTAGTGGGTTTCAGGGCCATTGGTGCCTCCTCTGACCTCTGGGCCCCTGGGGGAGGTAGGAGGCTGGAGGTGCTTGCGTTCCGGTTTCTGGGCTGGTACTGTGAAGACTCGGGAGGAGCCGGGTCTTGTGCTGCTCTCCTTGCTGGTGTCCCGCCACACATCTAGGTCAGGTTGTGTGGATTTGCTTATGATTTTGGGTCTCCTGCGTGTAAAGTTTACAGCATATTTAAGAAGGCTAATGATGGCATAAGCTCAGTGAAGCAGTTGTAGCTGGCTCCCTCCCCCAGTACCCCAGCAATAGAGTTCCAGTCCTGTGCTGCGCATTTTACATTTCAGTTAGTTTACTTTCACTTATTATTATTATTTTTTTTTTTTGCTTTTGGGTTTTTTTCAGATCATGTCTGAAATCATGATCTGAAGTCAGATCACAGACTTTATAGGTCTGTGACTGGGATATTTTACATAAAATACATGCAGTCTAAGAAGAAAGCCTAAGCCAAGACCTCACATATTCCTGGGATGAAAAAACATGGGGAGAGTTGAGTGTACAGAAGCTTCGTTTCATTGTAGGGAAACTGCTAGATCTCCTTGAAGTGCAGTGAGTGTCCTGTCAGACTTTCCGGGCTGGTGTGGGCCCTGCTCCTTCTCCTGGCTGGCGGCTCACTCACAGTGCTGCTTCACTGATGACTGGCTGGGTTTCCTTCCTTTGTTGACCACTTCTAAGTGGAACATCTTTTGTATTGTTTGTTCATGACCTCACCACATCCCTCAGGACAAAAAAAAATTTCAAGCAGATCACAATTATCTTCATTTCCTCCATTTGGCTACTTCGTATGTGATTTAAGATACCTGACTGATCTCAGACCCCGCTGAGAATGGGAAAAATCAGAACCCAGGCATTCTGGCTCCTTGCTGTGGATCTCTCCACTAGAGTGTGCTGCCCGCTAAATAATCATTGATCTCGGACCAAACAGGGTGGGGCGGTGGGGGGTGGGGGTTGCCCCGCAGGGTCAAGGGAGAAAACTTCTCACTGATCCCCAGTGACAAAGAAAAAAAAATCCTGCACATATAATATGTTTTGGCCCTTGCATTTTTCTTCTCTATCAAGGCAAGTTTTGTCTTTGTTCAGCAAACATCTTTATGGAATGCAGGTTCTTTGGAAAGCTCATGGCCAGAGCTTAGGGCTTAAGGTTTTAATCAGTGGCTGGCTGGCTATTTTACCTGGGGCATGGAATTATAAATGCTCCACGCCTCAATAACTTCATCTATAGAGTGAGGTTAAGAATACTTATCTCTTGGAATTGTGGTACAAAATGCCCAAACATCTTCAACTGTGGTTAGTATGCCATGTTACTTTACTACAAATTTTCTCAGTAGATTATTTCTCTAGAATTTTTCTTATTTCTTTGGAAGATTAACAATGTCAAAGCCTTGAACTCATCATAACCTTTCTGAAGGGGTCTCATTTTATTTTCCTTGACTAGATTTTGTTAGATAACTGAGATTCATGGTAATATGACATATATGATGAATTGTTCCCCTGATTGAAATTTAATACCACTTAAGCAACTGCTACCCACAGAATAAGATAACCTTGCTCATTTAAAAATATCTTTTAAGGAGCTTGGTTCAGGCTCTCCTAAAGTATCTGAGAATTCTGCCCAAGGAGCCACTGCTTACAAAGCAGACCACAAGTAAAGTGCTTGTGTGCTGCAGTTGTGTTAGGACCCAGGAGGGGTGATATTTGATGGTAAACTATTATGAATGGCAGTTGCAAACTGTAACTTCTGTGCCATGCATGGGAATGGGTATGACTGTAAAACAAGTTTTATTTCCCAAGTCCAAGTCAAACCCAGCAAACCCATTTTTCTGTTTACACAATTTGATTCACTGGTAGCTCATGTCTCTGCCTTACACAGCCAGCTTCCCACTGCCTCTTTCCCTACAGTTTTTTATCCAGGGATGTCTCAGTTCATGGTGTACTATTTTTATTTTTTAGTTACATTAATGCTATGAAATAATTAGTCAGCTAATTAATCTGGTTTACAAGCTTTGTAGGATTCTGCAGCTGTCAGTCAGGCCCAGGCCCCAGGCTTACATCTAGTCTCAGCTCTCTTGCCCATGTGATTCCCGTTGCCATGGCTACTGGCTACATCTGCTGACACCCCACTCTCTATTTATTGCTTAATTAAGAATTTCACGCTCAGCCCTTATCTGCCTCTAAGAACAAGCACACACTGTTAAGAAATTCCAAATTTAGGCCCAGGCACAAGGAAAGCCTTTCTTGCGGCCTTGGCTGGATGGAGCCTCTCTAACGATCTCCTCCTCGGCATCCCAGCCGCCACCCTTCAATCAAAAACCATTAAATGGGACATAGATAATGAGCATGTAGCATATCAAAAGAAGGATGTTTGCTTGATCCAAAGGAGGAAAAGCTGCTAGACTCCATGCTCAGCGCCACTTCAAAGGGAGATGAGACCCCTTGTCACTAGGGCCTGATAAAGCCTCATTTGTTCTGGGCTTGACTTATGCAAAAGGTCTGGTATGTCCGAGTCCCATCTCCCAGACGTGGAATCCCCCCACCTCTTGCCTCCACCTCCAGCAGCCCCCTTCCTGGCCTTCCGCACGCTCGTGTGTCAGCACTTAGGCAGCTGGGTCCCCCAAAGCATCAGGCGGAGCGTGTAATCACTAACTCTTCACTGACAATGGCCACTTGTAAGGGGGTGGCCAGGAGGAGGTCTCCGTCACAATAGGAACACAATTATTGCAGCTGCTAGGGAGGACTATGCTTCTTCCTGTAGAAATAGAATAGGACTTGCCCCAAACAGGGGGACAAGGTTGGGGGGAAGCTGCGGGGGTTGAGAGGGGTGGGGGAAACAATCTTGAGTTGATTATTCATATTCTGACTCTTGGAAGCCCGATGTGGAACCAGTGGGGTTCCAGCAGCTGCTCGTGCACAGCCTGCTCCTAATAATTGTACATTCTGTCAGGGGTCAACTTACTTTTGACCCTGTCCTTTTATATTGGTAAAAGGCTCTTTAGGGCAAACTGTTGGG